TGCTGTCCAGCATACATCAGTCCATCATCCTGCAGCTCTCAGGATGGAGAATATGCAAGTTGGACGATGAGAAGTTATTTTTATCTTGGATTTAAAATAGTAATGTTTTTAAAATAATTCACTATTTTCTCTTAAAACTTTAAAATACCATACAATGTTAATAGATATCAGCGTATGCTCCCAATATGTTCCTGTAGTTTGATGATTTTTTAACAGGACAATATTACTATAATTTTAGCTATTTTTATATGTAAAAACTATTAGGTACCATGTACCATTAAATGGCATTAAAAGACCTACGTCTGGTACCAGCTAATTTTATGTTTAGAAGTTCCTAGATGCCATTTACACCATTCGTTAAGATTTGCATACATGTAATAAGCAACAAAAAACGTTTGTTTAGTAAAACAAAAGAAAAAAATCGTGGTAATAGGCTGAATTTTCCATGGCTAACCTAACCACTTAACCCTTAGTTTCTTAGAAATCATTCAAAACTTTGAATCAGATCTGCTAAGACTGTACATGTACAGAAGTGTCTAATATATCATTTCTGAAATACAATTGACTTTGTCTGAAATACATTTGACTATTTCTGAAACAAATTTGACTAACTCTGAAGCATATGTGATGATTTCTGAAATACATATGACTATTTCTGAAATTCAATTTATTCTTCTGAATTTAAATTGATTTTTTCTCAAATAAAAGTAACCAGTATGGATTGCAAATGATACTTTCTGAAATAAAAATGATAATTCTGAAATACAATTGATGCTTTCTGAAATGAACTTGACCCTTTCTGAAATGCAAGTGGAAAAGGTGTAGTTTTCTCAAAAGTTCTTGGGTGCTTTGGGGATTTATATTTTGATTGATCATACACAATTGTAGCTTACGAGTACTTTCGAGGATTGTTTAGTCTTTTACACAACATATTCTGTGAAAGCTATTTGTCTCAGGTACTTAAAATATGTATATATTATAATGCAAAAGCGACATTGAAAATTGAAAGTGTGATGTCCCTATAAAAACAACACGAACATAAAACATTGAGTTTGGTTGAACACAAGTTATTTATGATTTGTTTCTGGCATATAGACTCAGGTCTGAGACGAGAGTTATTAATTACCCCCCCCCCCCCCTCCCTAAAACCACTCTACTTCACTAAACGACAATGATAATTGTACAATTTACTTTAATAAGTGTTCTTACACCAAAATGACAAGTAACTGTAAAACAAACAATACTTTTCTATACCAGCCAATATTGTCTTTACTAGGGATATCATAAACTTAATAAAATATTGAATCCTGTATTGTGTACATACTTAGTAAAAATCTAAAAATGTCTGTAGAGGCTAGATTTGCTACTATATTAATTTAACAATGTGGTGTCAAACAAAACGTTTGAGTCTCATATTTCAATTGATTCTCATCCCGTGATGATAGGTTGTATGGGTTTTCATTTATAGAGTTTCAAAAGTGTAACAATCGAATAACACTATAAACTGTAGGTCCCTTAGTTGCCATTGGTTATATGTCTAAGGAAAGTCAGTAAAAAGACAAGATCGCGCCACTCATCCTACACTCATCTCGATTCATACTTGGCTTAAAAGTCGCCTTTTCAGATTAAAGTATTACATCACCCTGTATTTTAATATTGAATATCAAAGAAAGGCGCAGCTCATAAGAAATTTGAAATTTGTTAATGCTAAGAAATATCTGAACAAGATAGATTGTATGCATTTTGTGTTTTTTTCTGCGTAACTTGATTATTGCAAGTAAATATCGTAAAAAAAACCTCCCTTGGATGTTGTGATTAGTGATTGTTAGTCCTTCAGTCGGTGGGTATATAAAATGATGTTTTATTGTTAAGTTAGCTTAGAGTAGTATGGTATAAAATATCGTACGACACTCGTCCAAAAGGTGTTTACCGGACTCGTATGGTAATCCTCGAGAACGACCTCACTCGTCCGGTAAACACCTATTTTCAGGACTAGTAACGTAATATAGCCTACTATTAAGCAGATTAGCATATTCGGTAAGGCGCTAATAGAATGCACTCTACTAACTCTAAATGTCTGATTTTGAAAAAAATATAATGTAAGAACGCATTAGAAGTCAATTATGTATAGCATTATTCGGCATTATTCAGCTGAGACAAATATAAATGATTTTTTACATTTACCTTTGCAAAATAAATTGCGTGTATTATACATACCAGGTTATAAAACAGAAATCTAAGAGAATTATTATAAAAAAACGGAAACGCACCGAGGTGGCAGGACATATTGAGGGGTCCGTTATTACTTAAACTGTGACTAGCAATCATTGAATAACTTTTTTTTTCGAAAAGTCCTTGTGGTCTATTGTTGGATGTGATAGTTCGATTGTTTACAACTTTAATTTAAGATTTTTAATTTAAATATGAATAGATTTTAAGTCACAATCATACCCTACTAACCCCCCCCCCCCTACTTAATAAGTTAACAATATTTTTTTTAGTTTGCATTTATGAAATTTAATATAATATTTCTTAATCGAGCTACTGTATTTAGGTTTTGATCGTGGAATTTTGGATTCGCCGATATAATGGAACTCGTACTAGAGGCTATGAAATGTTTTATACGATGTCAGGAATAATCTAAATTACACTAAAATGTAACATTTTTAGAGAGTTCTTGGAATTTGGTATTTTTTTACTACCCTAATTTAATTACAGGCATAAACTGGCTACATATTTTGACGGGGAGTAGAGTACTGTAGTGTAAATCAATTCCAACGCAATGCATTTTCAGTGGAAATAGATTCCATCAGTTCGATATGTTACACAGGTGATTGTATTATGTGCATTGATTGTAGGTAAGAGATTTGGTTTGAATTTATGGAAACTAGGATCAGAGCAGACTGTATATCAGATTGTAATGATATCTGAAAACATTACAAAACGGTCCTTATGCACATGTGAATTGAAATTGCAATGAAGTAGATTCATAAACCTACAGCATTACACCTTTGGAGACACTCGTTATGTATACCAAAGTTGAAATGTATACATACTGAAAGACTTCTGGATGAGTGAGAAATACTTCACTACCTCATTTAAGTTGTAACAAGTTTAGACTTTCCGATAAGATCAATTACCTTGGAAGGATCTAAAAAGGAACGTTTCTAAATTTAAATCTCCTTTGATTTTATGGTTTAAATTACACTGTATAAGTATAGGTAATGGAGAAAAACAACATTATGTACAAAACTTTAATTTAACAAATTCAATAGCTATACTTTTATTTACATTAGTAAAAAAATAGTTTGTATAAATTACACTTTTACAGTAACGAACTTCCCCATTGTTATAAAATGTTATATATTTAAAACACTTTACAATCATACTAATGAACATCATAAATAAACATACGAGGCTAAAACCACACAATAAACCGTAATTGACAGCTATGTCAACAATTATTCAACAACTATATCGATATGATAAAATATTAATTTATTAATCAAACTGTATCTTAATTTAAATGATTAATTTTGCGTTGACCTATCCCTTTAATATTTGTCCGTGTTTATCTAAAAAACGATTTATCGATTTGGTATGCAAATTTCAAAGATACATATAGGACAGTAATTTAATTATACAAACAATTAAACATTGAAATTAAAACTAAAATATAAAATATAACACAGAGTTAACTAGTTGAGAAAGATTTTTTACTAAAATACTACAACTAATTTTAAGTTATGACCAGTAAATTTTAAAACTTATTTAATTTTATCAAGGTAGATCAAAACTGATCTATGACTTATACTATAATGCAACTGAACTAAAAAATATATATTTTCACACTGACTTAAATTTTGAAAAAAAATTGAACGTTGAGCTTCAACCGTTTTCATTTGATGTTTCTTATTCTAATTATCACATGATCATCGGTATCCCCCTGTACAACAAGCATATATAGCAGATTTCCAATTGTCCTTAAATAAAAAAAAAAAAAAACTTAAAACCTAGCGAAAATAATCTTTGAAGAAATACTAGAAAAGACGTTAATTTTAGGAAAACAAATTGGTTTATATCAGATATTTAAGTGTAGATATAAAGTAATTCCTCTAATTCACTAGAACCTTTCTATATAACGAAAAATATTTCAATGACCAATGCTTATGAGACTAGATTTTCTTATGGCAGACATACTTATTAGCATCTGAGTAAAATACCTCGTACTGTTTTTTCACTCACTTCGTTTAATGTGTTACATAAGTAACAATTGGTATCAATTATTCCGGTAATGTTCTATTGGTGAAACTTAAACATTAACGTATAAGTAAAAAACTGAATTTTAAATCAGATTAAAAACTCTGCCAGGCGTTCTAAAGTGTGTTCATTATGCAATGTAACTGATTGGATTTTTATAAGTGCTTAGATATCTTACATTTCCGGTAAATAGTAGAAAGCCAATACAACATTTGTTTGCACTATGAGATTAAATCCCTCGTATTTTCTTTTGTAGTAAAGGTTACGTCATTCATGTTTGTAAGTCACTGAAGTAGGATTGAGATCACTTTATTCATGACACAGGTACATGGTCCTTATTCAGAGTATGAGATGTTTCACCTCTATAATTATTAAACTGTAAAATGATCAAGGAAACGTAGTGATGTATGGTAATTTATGTTGTAGGACTGACTTTTTGCTTCTGTGACCCTTACAGGATATAATTTTACAAGCAAAGAGCTTTTGATTTAGTTGATAAATTGCTTTAAAAATGATAAAAAACCTAGATTTTTATGATTTTTGTTTATCTGTGAAAATTGGGAGCTTATGAACCCGTTGTATTAATGACTTACGGACGTTCGGGTTTTGATCACGCAAGAATCGTGCAGGATCCTGACGTAGTGTCTTGTTTAAGTTTTATTTTTTTAGAATTGTGAGTCTCTCGGATTATCAATAGTATAGGCAACGTCATAAACGATGTAAACAGCCAAAGCAAGTTAGTGACCAGGACACTTAGGCAGTATTCTTGTTTGCGCTATGAGACTTGAAACGTCTGAATGTCTGGTAGCGTGGGATGACGGCGACTTGGGAATCCATAACTCTCGACATCATCCTCACGTTGCAGCGAGGTTGTCACCACAGTTGTCTCTTCTGTGGAACAAAGATTATGTATTAAAACTGTTGCGTTGTTATAAGTAATATACCTCTATTTATGGTCGTTTTAAGCAGATTTAATGCTCGTTATTTAAATCATACAGTAATTTTACACCGAAAATTAGCTTATTTGAGGTATTGATTTTGGATTATGTTCATGCATTTCGATGCACTTAACCCTATAAGTGTTAGGTACTAACCTGCAATCACATCAAGCGTGTTTTGTGTTTGATCACTGGCGCGAGGAAGACTATTGAGGGAAATGCCTGCCAAGATATCATGCTGGCAGTATGTTCCGGAAATCTGCAATGAAGAATTCCATTTGTCAGAATACATAAACGTGAATAATGAAAACATTTATTACAAGAAGCTAAGCATTTCTATACTAACTACTCTACATTAGTAATCACAAAACAACAATTTTAAAGAGAGGGAATATGGGGATTCTACATCGCCCGAAGAGGACCCTCTTTGGGCGAGGTGAGTTATTGGTTGAGATGTGGGGGCAGGTGGTATGCGGGTGTGGTTTACGTATTGTGTACGTACTAACCTTACTTGATGTACTGCATACGTAGGTTGTCTGCATTCCCGCCATAACCTCACTTTACGTACTGTATACGTAGGTATACCATAAATTATAAACTATATTTGTTTATTTGTTAAATTGTGGATAAAAAGTGTGTGTCTCGACCGGGTATCGAACCCCGGTCTCCTAGGTAAGGGTTTGAAGTGTTATCCATTGGGTTACGGTGCCAGTTACAGGTCCTGTGTTTATAGTGGTAAATGACAACCTCATAAACAATCCTTATCGTCTTGAAAAGATATGGTATTTTCCACTACTGATTTGGTTATACCTTTACATTTTTTTTATGAGATGTTCATTTTCAGATCTGCTTGCGTACATCTTTGATCTTAACCCTGCGTGTTCATAGATGATTTTTCCTTTGAGTTCATCTTTGAATTTTCCAAAAGTGTTAGTTATACCTACACCAAACTTTCAGGTTGCAAATAACTCATCAAGTCAAGTAGTGTAGAATTATAATATCGCGATTATAAGTAACGCTTCTTTCCCACTCTACGGTTTTCCCCGTTTTGTTGGAAACGGTACGATTTTACACAATTTTTATGTTTATTTTTTTTACATATTTACGTTGTTTTAACTGTGTAGTGTGAAAGCTTTAATGCTGTTTTTTTTGCACTACTAACAAAGACAAATTTTTAATACGGGTTTTAGCTGTTACTGATTGATCATGGATAATATAAAGTTTGTTTTACTTTTTTTATTGCAATAACTGGATAAATAACTTTGCAAGACGATAAGTACATATGAAAGGTAAATTACTTGTTGGATCTGATGATGATTGGAGGTTCCAATTGAAATCGATCGCCATTACCACCTTTCATGTATTTACCGAATTGTAAGTAAACCGTATAGGTGTGGATATATCATTAAAAGTGTTATTTGACGTATCCTTCGTACTTTCAAATAACTGGTTATGTTTAAGGGGTTTGGGGGCTTTGTGTCTTCAAACTAAGTTCATATTTCCTTCACCTCAAAACCTAATAGTGAAAGATATCTTTACGTGAAAGATATGATCTCTTCGAAATATTTAAAAATAATTAAGTGCCTTTTCAATGTCATCTTTAGGTTAGAATCTCAACTAACATTTAAACCCCCCCGTACGTAATGAAAATCATCAATAACAAATAATTGTATTTAAATATGTATCAAAGACTGCAATAATAATAAAAGGTCATTAAGGTTGTTTCAAATCTGTGACATAACAATATCACATTTAAATCCTGTAACCAAGCAAACGGCATATACCCACAGTTGTTGATTTGTTTCTATTGGTAGAGTAAACGCATACAAATGTATTAAATGTGTACGTTTTTCAGTTCTTATTACTATGTGGTTGTAATTACCTTACACTTACATATTTAGAGGAAATATTTTTCCATTTGTAAGGTAAACTGCTATTAGTAAAATAAACGTATAGATCGTTAAAAGTTGTTCGAATAAAACTTTTGTTTAAGTATGAATTAAGTTTAAGAGTGTGTAAATCTTTGATAGTTATTCAGTAAGTAAATGTGTGACGCCAGAGTGTCAGCTCAAATTGTTAAATAAAACGTAAAATAGTTACCTAACATGCAGGGTGAATACTAAAATTGTATATATGAATTTTAAGGAGAGCATTCAAACATAACTGTAAAACCCAAAGGGGTGTTTCTTTTCTTTACGCTTCTTAAGCTAACTAAAAAATACGTGTGTCAACATTAATGAAAAGGAACTCCGTGGGTGGCTTCAACAACTAGGAAATACTCTTATTTAATCAACCAAAACTTTTATTTCAATAATTATCAAAAACATTTTAAAGATTTTTAACGATATAATAATGGCTCCGTTGAAAGAAAATCACAATACTATTTACAAATGAATAGTTAAAAATGTGGATTAAGAAGCAAATTAATAATTCAGTACTGTATGGTCAACATTATCACTAGACATCTATCATTGATGAACCTGCTAAAATTTTAAATAAGTCTATTCATTTGGAGCGAGTTAATTTAAGAACACTATCTGAAGGAATTGCACCACATAAACTTACACAGAATTTAATTTCCATTTTGATGTTAACCAGAAACATAAATCTAAGGTTATGTTTGCTTGATACCCTAACTTTATACGAGTTTTGCTTGGCCTTTTCAAAAGGAGTATAAGATTAAAAAATAAATACTCAGTATTGTAGTAGTTTTGCCATGTGACATTTTAGACAATTTAGTTCTTATTTTGGAAATATAACAATAATTTGTTACACATCAGAGTTTTTTTTTTTTTTTTTACTTTTGTGCCTACAAATCACTAGTTTACACATTAGTAGGAGTTTTACTCGTGCCTTGTTTAACGGAGTCAGTGTATACAAAAGAGACAATTTTGGTTGTCTTTTAAAATGTCTAAAAAATTTGTTTCACATATACCATTTAATTTAGATACGAAATTGAACTGTATTGAGTAGTTTGATAATAAAGTAGTACGTTTTTGTTTGCTCAGACAGTTAAAACTTACATAACCTACCTAGGATACAAAACTAATGATAGATTTTAATGTATAATCTAATTACATGGTGAATGGTTTTTACTGTAAACGAAAAAATATCGCAATAGTGTTAACTGTTTACAAATAAAATATATATAAATACCTCCGCCGCAGCAATCCTGCCGACTCAGCGAATTTCAATTTGTTTGAATTGATTTTCATAAAAATTAATTCTTTTAAAACGCAGGATAAGAGCCTAGGTTTATACGACATTGATTATAAAATTTTAATCAATATAATATCCATGAATAAACTTATCACGCAGGATCTAGTCTGGAAATAGCTGTTCCACTAGCTTAATCGGACGGGGTTTCATTATACACTATTGTACTGTATTGAGTTTTTACCAGACACCAACCAGCTGATTATATTTAAGAACAAGTGATTATAAACAAAAACATAACCTCTCTTTAGGAGATATGGGTAGTGATTGTTAGTCATTTAGTCGGTGGAAATATATCAGGACTTGTACAGATTTTTTATTGTTACGTTCACTTAGAGTAGTATGACATAAAATATAGTATGCAACTCGGCTAAAATGTGTTTATTGAACCACACTCGTCCGGTAAAAACCTATTTCCAGAACCAGAAACTTAATATACTATTACAGCATTTCACAAATATTAGAACAGACTCAGTATAGACTAAAAACATAACAAACTTAAAGAATCCTATACTAATGACATTAACATATAGAATAAAATCAATATTTATTGTACAGTGTTAATAGCAGCATTATAATTTGGGAATATAAAAAAATTTTCACACAGGGTTAATTAAAACACTCTGAACCTTAATTAATTAATTAATAAAATCTGGATTAATTTTTAATTTTTTTATATTATAATTATTTACCTGTGACAGTTCTGCTTGTTTACATTCAAACTGTGTGGGTTTGTTCTTCGTTATCATTGATACCAATCAATGTTTACTTTAAAAACTCTAACCTCAGAACTTGAATGCCCACGGGACAGAGCCCTAGCTCAATATCTGAGCGGGAACAGTTCTACATTCTGTATAAGTATCCTCGTAACTGTAGCTTTATTTTTGGTCAATTTGAGCCCAGCTTTATAATACTGTAGTAAGATAAATCCAACCATGCGATGTTTGTCGGATATTTACAAACACATGTATACACACAGAAGTAAACAATACGCCTATCGTTTAACCGGTAATTTCATATTTAGACAAAATAGTTAAGCCCCTTACAAACACTCAGGCGTAAATAATCCCTGAAAATAGTTCTGACCAGGAACGGAACACGTTGTATCCAAGATTGGTTAGTTTGACTAATGTATCATTTGATAAAAAAAAAAACTAAGTTAATAGTTTTGGTAATTGCCCAAAGTATTACCCTCCAGGTAATATTACTATAAACTAACATATGTTTAGCCATGATATTACAAATACTAATTAAATAACAAATTTACCATTGAATTTGCAATATCATATTTAAAATTCAATAAAAGAAATTACGATATTTGGTTGCTAATATATTAGAAAATGTCATATTAAAGTAAAAGCACAGGATACCTTACAAACAACGGTCAACTAATAATGAAAATAAATGTATGAAGGTTATTAGGAATAAACTTATCCAACTTTACGCTGTATTAATAGAAGCTGGCAAATCTCTGTTATCATAATTTAAAATTGATCTGGACGCAAACGTAAACACATTATTCACACAGAACATATGTATATGTGTTTAATGAAAAACAATTGAATGCAACAGAAAAAATAAGACAACAAAGAAATCATTTACCCGAAAATCGACTCAGTCATAACTCCAGTATGTTTTATCTATGCTCAAACGGTTATCACTAGATTTCTCGAGTTTCTACACAGTGTAACTTGAACCCACTCCTAAAACAGTGTAAACTGCAAAACTTCAGTACTGCGGATGTGGGCTAATTATTTACTGCCAAGAAGCTAACAGGTGCCCTAGCGGCTGCCCTACCACCTGCCCTACCGCCTGCCCTACCCAACGATGTATCGTTGGCCCTACCGGTTGCTCTACCGGAAATATATTTCCGCTTTGAGATTAGCATTTCTGACAAAGAAGGGCAGAATGCGGTCAGCTCTGGAGGCAACAACACAGAGTTCGTTTTCACTCCGCTCTATTATGAGGTAGGTAGTTAAAGCTATTATGATTTAATATCAATTATTTAAAAGTAAACAAATATTACAAAAAAGTTGAGTATTA